TCAAAAAAATTGTAAATACTTTATGTTATACAGGTAGCCAAGTGGTAGCCAGCTGTTTTATTATGGTAGCCAGGTGGTAGCCAGGCGTTTTATTATAGATTTATTATGGTAGCCAGGTAGCCAGCTGTCTTGTATAATAATAAGTTTAAGTGAATTTGAAATTTGTAAATACTTAGTGTTATACAGGTATATGAAAACGGCTTCAATTTACTTAAACTTATTGATATGCAAGACAGCTGGCTACCTGGCTACCATAATAAAACTATAATAAAACGCCTGGCTACCACCTGGCTACCATATTAAAACAGCTGGCTACCACCTGGCTACCTGTATAACATAAAGTATTTACAATTTTTTTTGAAATTTGTAAATACTTTATGTTATACAGGTAGCCAGGTGGTAGCCAGCTGTTTTAATATGGTAGCCAGCCGTTTTATTATAGATTTATTATGGTAGCCAGGTAGCCAGCCGTTTTGCATAATAATAAGTTTAAATGAATTTGAAATTTGTAAATACTTGGTGTTATACAGGTATATGAAAACGGCTTCAATTTACTTAAACTTATTGATATGCAAGACAGCTGGCTACCTGGCTACCTTATTAAAACTATAATAAAACGCCTGGCTACCACCTGGCTACCATAATAAAACAGCTGGCTACCACTTGGCTACCTGTATAACATAAAGTATTTACAATTTTTTTGAAATTTGTAAATACTTTATGTTATACAGGTAGCCAGGTGGTAGCCAGCTGTTTTAATATGGTAGCCAGGTGGTAGCCAGGCGTTTTATTATAGTTTTATTATGGTAGCCAGGTAGCCAGCCGTTTTGCATAATAATAAGTTTAAGTAAATTGAAGCAATTTGTAAATACTTGGTCTTATCCGTCTACATTTGCCTTATTATTAATAAAACGTTTAGCTTTATATATTTGCAAATAGGAACAACAATTTGGGACTTTGGTCATAACCACCATCATCATAACCACCACCATAACCATAACCACCATCATCATAACCACCATCATCATAACCATAACCATAACCATAACCATAACCATAACCATAACCATTATAACCATCACCATCATAACCAGCACCATCGTAACCACCACCATCATAACCACCACCATCACAACCGCCATCATCATAACCTTAACTACCATTGTCATAACCATAACCACCATCATCGTAATCATAACTACCATCATAATAATCATAACCACCATCATCATAACCACCATCATCATAACCATAACCATAACCATAACCATAACCATAACCATAACCATAACCATAACCATAACCATTATAACCATCACCATCATAACCAGCACCATCATAACCAGCACCATCGTAACCACCACCATCATAACCACCACAATCACAACCGCCATCATCATAACCTTAACTACCATCGTCATAACCATAACCACTATCATCGTAATCATAACTACCATCATAATAATCATAACCACCATCATCATAACCACCATCATCCTAACCATAACCACCATCATAATAACCATAACCACCATCATAATAACCATAACCACCATCATAATAACCATAATCACCATCATCACTCTTACCATCACCAACATAAACACACACTATCATGGCTACTACTATAAAATTTCTATCTTATAGACAAATTGATAAAGATAAGTTTTAATATAACATCGCTACTTTGAAGTCCTCAAATTTCATATATTTCTTTCTAGTCTCTCTAACAAACAAGAGGAAAGGTCCCGCTTCCATGCGACATATTGGAGGCAAGTGTATTCACGTTTTAGGGGGCGCTTTCACAAAACCAAAAGTGGGACAATTCCTTGTGATATACGACGGATGTGTAAAAGACAGGCTGGAGTTCCAGCTCTGGCCGAGTGGAATACTG